TATCTCATCTCATCTTATCTTATCTTATCTTATCTTATCTTATCTTATCTTATCTTATCTTATCTTATCTTAAATACTAAAATGGAACAACTTTAAATATACTTATTACTTTAAGTGTATATCTTTGTCTATACACTTAAAGTGTACTAAGTATATTTAAAGTTGTTCCATTTTAGTATTTAAAGGTAAACTTAATACACTTAAAATTGTGCTTTTGTAAAGTATATTTAGTATTAAATTAGTTGTTCCAAAATATCACTCTTTAAGTATACTGATGATTACTGCGGCTTCAAGTATACTTAGATTTAGTATACTTAGTACGTATAATATTTTTTCACCTGGGTGCTGTTTTTATTTTATTTTTTGTCATAAATACATGTTTGGGTTCTTTATATATAAAACCAGTTTTGGCTCAAACATGACTCATGTTTTTTTAAATGAACTGAGTTTAAATCTGTAGAAAACAGTTGGTTTTTATTATTTATGTCGTCCAGGTGCCTGGTGTGGATTACTGGGACTCCTGGGCTCCGTACGGTGAATGCAGTCGCAGCTGTGGTACCGGTGTGACGGTGAGGAGCAGACGCTGCATCACTCAGAGGTACGCCGCTGCTTGTGTCTGAGCTGGGTGTTGGCTGCTGCTGAGGATCAGACTGGGAGGGAACCCTCTGACCTGTTAGGATTCAGAAAAAAAAGACAATTTAAACAGTTTATAATTTCACTCCTACAGAGTGTTTTGAACCTGAAGGTACCATTAAGTGAATTTTCTGTCTTTGTTGGCTTGTTTAGTTTCTTCTCTTGTGTCTGACTGGAATATGTTTGGTGTCTGGAGTCGTGCTTAGAGGAGCTGACAGATATTTGTCTAAAAGTTGTTTTCWTGTTTCTGGGAACACATGAAGTCTTTATCAGCTGCATTTGGTTTTTATAAAAGGTTCAAAAATACTCAGTGTGTAAAACTGACCATAATTCAATGTTAAAAATACTTCTAAGTATCTCACCTTTTTAATTCAGTATTTTAATGCATTAAACTTTGTTGCTTCAGGATCTCTGAGGATCCATAAATAAATTAACAGCTGAGTTAAAATATGTGTCAAACCCTGAGAGACTCCTCTGCGCTCACACAGAGGCTACTGAAGGAAACGTCCGCTTGCCTTCAAAATAAAGACATCACAAAAGCCAGTTTCAAAATAAAAGCAGGGGTTTTAAGATTTGCGTGCAGAATTTTACTTTTTTTTCCAAATACCTCTTAGGCACAGATAGAGATGACTAACAGGTTTAAAATGCTGTGTCTGTTATTTTAAAAGACTTTAGATGTTTTCAAAGGTAATATTCAAAGATTGTGTGGATAAATAAAACCACCTGAACAGATAATAATAAAAATTCATCTGCTGTTAAAGGGATCCATGATTGGTTGAAACATTAGACTTTATTTGATAAACATATATTTTAACTGTAAAATAAAGACTGTAAAAATACTGTAGGATGTTTAGTTTTTATCATGTTTAAACTAAAATATTAGGCTATATTACCTAATATGTTTTAGCTCGGCGCTAGCGCGACAAACAGGCTAAAGCAGCTCTGTTGTCCTCCATCCATATTTTCAGTTCCAGGCTGAGTCATTTCTACCTTCTCCTCTCTGTCAACGCTCTCTGGTTTCATTTAAAAGAGTCGATCATCAGATATTGTCCAAGATTAACCTTCAGGGTGGATATAGCTCGCTAGCAGCCTCGCACCGAGGACCTATCCACGTCATCATTTACCCAGAATGCTTTGTGTGTAAATAAAATGGCTCCGTCCTTGTTAAAATATATTTTAAAACTTTTACAAAACTAAACATCCTACAGTATTTTTACAGTCTTTATTTTACAGTTAAAATATGTTTATTAAATAAAGTTGAATGTTACAACTAATCAGGGATCCCTTTAAAAACTATTTAAATGTAGTTATTAAAGAAAAGTTCAAAACCCAAAATTTGTTATTAAACTGTGTATTTTGTTGCTGAGGTTTTGTCACATCCAAACTGTRAGATGAGAAAGAAGTCTTCAAACAGACCGGTCTGTAGTTGGAGTAGTAGTGGAGCCTGTCCCCTTCAGGTTTCTATGAAAACACCATTAAATTTATACAAATTAAACAAGCTCAAAACAGTTTTATACAGGGTTCATGTGGATCCTTAGAAAGTCTTAAAAGTCATTGAATTCWTCAATCCAAAAATAAGGCCTTAATTTGCCTTAAAATGTCTTAAATCAATATTTCTGAGGTCTTGAAAATGTTAACACAAATATTAAAATAATTGGTAGCATTTTTTGGACAATTTACCAAATTTACTACACATCTTGCATTGTTTTGTGCTAAAATAAACATTTGGGTAAATTTGTTGCTAAACGTTTTTTTAATTTGTGTTTATTGTGAAGTTGGTCTTAAATTTCCTTTCAWTTGGCATTAAAAAGTATTAAAAAGTCTTACATTTATCTTGCCTTAAACTGTAGGAACCCTGTTAGATCTTTATGAAAAATCCCATCTATGATCCTAAAGGAAAGTTTAACATGAATCCTTTTAGAGCAAAYACATCATATCTGTAAAACGGCTTAAATTTTTATTTAAATTGGTTGAATTTGTTCAATTGCAGTGGACTTTCATGGCAACATCAATGTTTTCCTGAAAACCGTGTGAGCTCAGCCTGCTTCATGTTTCTAAAGCTGATGTCAGTCACAGAAAACAGGCTCTAGTTTTCTTTTGAAAGGTAGCGTACCGTAAAAAGAAAACTTTCAAGCTCTGGTTTCTCTTGGTTCTGAATTGAGCAACTTTTGTAAAAAAAATCATTTGTTGTTCCACAGCCTGATGCTCCATCAGAACGGAGACAACAGTCTGTAATTGGGCAATGAAGTTGCAAAAATGTGATTAAAAACAACAAGTTAGCAGGTTTTCAACAAGCCCCTGCAGCAGGTCAGTGAGTCAGACTGTCTGTGTTCAGAGCCGGGCCACCACTCCCCTCCTGGATGAGCTCTGTCAAATCCTGTTTGTCTGAATCATAACTTTGAACGTCAGCTCACTGTGTGCTGCAGGAACCCTCATGTTCATTTTAGAATGAAACTAGAAGAGTTCAAACCTCCGCCAAGACCATTTCCTCCATCCTGTAAGAGTTAACGCACAAAAGCAGAGATGAAACACATTTTCTGAATAAGTTCTGACGTAGTGAACATTTAAGCAGCAGTATGATGGGATTTCTTCTTGGTGGAGTCCAGTGTGAAAAAACTAAAGTCAGACTGGTCACCTGACGTTGTTCATGGTCAAAC